CCTCTCGTGTCAAAATTCTGACGTCTCGTGTCAAAATTCTGGTCTCGTGTCAAAATTTCGTGCTCATGTCAAAGTTCCTGACACACGTGGGACCCATGTTATATTCTGGGAAAGACGTCTTCTGGTTGAGATATCGGGTGCTAGCGAAGTTTCCAGTGAGAAACTGTTGAAAGCAGAGGGGATGCTAGATATACTCGCAGCAGTCTGCAGTATCTGGGGTCGTGAGGATCCCAGCGGGATACGTGTTGGGAATTTCGTGTGTTGAAGGGTACCACTGGTACAGTCACGGGGACCCTTTGGGCGTGGTCGGTGCGATGATGAGGCTTGCGTGCGTGCTGGGCACTTCTTCTTCCCTCTCTCTCCACCACCACCACCGTCTTTCTCCAATCAAGTTTCCTTCTCCCACTCTCTCTCTAACTCTCTCTCAACCTCTCTCTCTCGGCCTAACACGGCCGACTACCCAGTGCCCCAAAGTAACGTCCAGAACGTGCTTGCTGCACCCCGCGTAGTTTACCTTTCAGAGGATTTGGCCTTCTTAGCGGGAACCCCAGAGAACATGATTACTACACCTCGTGTTGCGAACTGTTGTTTGCAGCGGAGGTGAAAGAAAGTGGTCGTCAGGGGGTGGGTGCGCGACCCCCCGGGCAAACTACACGGACAACCGTCAACAATCAAGTACCGGTGGGCGCGTCACGATAATTGCACCGAAACCTTTACACCGCCCCCCAACAGACACTTACTTGACACCACGAAGAACCAAAATTTTCGCTGTCGCAACAGACGTCACATTTGAAGCAGGCTGACACTTAGATATGAAAGCAATGTTTCGAGCAGACACTCAGTTCCACGCAGTACATCAAGAGAGTAGGCCTGCAGCAGTTGTGGTGTGTCGAGCAGCTCCAATCGGCAGTCGTGGCACGTGATTCGTATGCAGTGTCGATGTGTGTGGCTCCGGTTTGAGCTTTCCCGTCAAATCAAAAATTCCCCGCGTCTCCAAAGTACAGCTTCAGCATGGTTTCACCGAGACATGCGTGAAAACCCAAATACGCTGGGACGAAGGATATAGACTACAAATTGACGAATACATGCGACGGCATTAGTCAATGACACACTCGATTACAATGACGGTTTTACCATTTTACCACCATCAAGCCGGTTGAAAGTATCTGCTTTATCACAAATAAATATCCCGAGATATCAACAATTTTCAAAGTTCACTTATCCAATTATACCGAGACATTCACAGCGAAGATCCATTTTGACGCCCAAATGCAATATCTGACATGTGAACATGAAGATACAATATAAAGCGGGTGTACTGACTCTGAAAGCCAACCCACCACCGGGCGAGCGCGGTCACCGTCGAAGTGCTGCCTCGATACAAAGAAAGGGAAGAAATCCTCATATTGCTATAGCGTGGCCATGACAAAATCAAACAATAAAGAAGCTCCGTCGTTCAGCGCCGACTCCGTCACGGAAGATCCATTCACACAAAGTTTCACCTCAGAAAAACTGAACCTGTATGTTGACTCCGACGCCCAAAAATGGGTGCAATGAACCCGCAAGATTAGGGGCAGCAAGCCACGAGCAATTTTTCCGACAAAAGTGTTCGTATGGGCATACTGCGCTCGATTGCACGAAAACGAGCGCCTCCTCGCAAGAGTCGGCACCCGCGTCTAGCAATTAGTATTGGTGACGTCACCGTCAACTTGCGCTGCAAATGGTCAGCCTTTAGCGAATAAAGGATTCACGCACGGGTTCGAATCCCAGTGGATCGCTTTCAAGGCACCATTATCGGCTAATAGCAGCATCTTGTGGCGAGGGGTCCGTCCCCGGAGATCACTACACCCTATCAGATCCACTGGGATTGGCTACGAGCCGAGAGTGTATCTTTTATTCGATAAAGGCTGACCATTTGACTACGTGCACAGTCATCGGATGACTGTGCACTCAAATGGTCAGCCTTTATCGAACAGCAACTCCGCCGCGACGTCGGAGATCGAGGCCATAGGTGGCGCGTCGAACCCCAAACCTCCCCAAGATGAGACACACCAAAGGAGAGCTGCGCATATCATAGCGTCGCTGAGCGCAACGAAATGTGTACGTTTCCAGCCCCCGCTCGGAAGAACCGAAAAGCCTGTCTTGTTAAATGAGCGGGCGACCCCCCGCAATACAGCTTTGAGCAGCCATAGCTCAGCGCTCCGGGCGAATCTCGAGGCCGTAGGCGGTGCGCTGTGTAGGGTGAACCCAGCAGAACACACACCGGCTTTGATTTGCTGTGAAAGCATTTGCGTGAGGAGCTTTAGGTGGATCGCCTTGTACGTCAAGCTCCGAATAGGTATTATTAGGAATGTCTAAGGAATTGCTCTGAAACATTGAACAGCCTGCAATCAGGGCGCGCGTAACTGTGGTGAGCAAGTTTCGGAGATCTGCTTGGTTTACGGACACGAAATACATTAATAGATCCGCTCCTCGACGGGATCCTTCACAGAGGACGGCGTAATATGCCTACAGTAAATAGAGGTGCGTGGTCCATGGGTGACCAGAGAGTCTGAGGACCAATGAGAAATGGAACCATATATAGATTCGAAACCAGCGGAACTGACGTATGATACAAGAGAATTCACGTGAAAGAAACTGGGGTCTACACAACTCTCCCCCTTGGGATCAGCAGCTGATGTTCACTCAGCATGCGTGTGATGCGGGACGCACAGCGAGAACACGATGAAGAAAGAATTCGAAGCCGTTCGTAGAGAAAACAAAAAAATGTGGCATGAACGGCACTACCAATACAACCGAACGTATCTGAGCGATTCCTGTCGTAGCGCCGGACTGAGCAAGGGTGAAAAAAGGTACAGGGTGTACACGGTGTGACGAATGGCGCAAGGCAGGGGATTCCAGGAGGGTTTCACACGAGGTGGGGACTGCAAGCACCCCAGCCATTTGTCGATCATGGTATCGAAGGCAGGCACTTGCGGCAACTCACCGGGTGCCCCAACTCTTGAGCGCTCGTAGTACAGTCGGAAGCCGAGGTTAGAACGCGACCCGGGTCGTATACATTGTACACGCCCCAGTCCGACAAAACTGTACTGCTGTACCGCAAGATCTGCTGCTGTACCGCGAGATCTCCCGTGCGCCAACACTTTCGAGGGGGGGTGAGCATATCCCAAAACGACTTCGGGAGGCTTTTAGCCCTTAACAATCGTAATCGTTTGATGACACCGCAAAACAACAAGCTGCCACAGCCAGCAAGCCTTGCAATTGCCTGTCGTGAAGAGGAAGGTAAGATGCATGAACTACGAGTACACACGCTTGTACACAGTACAGGATTTCAGCTCGAAACGCTCCATTGACGCCGCCGCGAAACAACAAAAGTTGCCACCACAATGGGGTACACACGCGACGTAGCAAGCAGTCACATGCAAATCTTGATCGACTCGAACACCTCTCAATAACGACCTAACGACTCACACACCCTATCCCCCCCAAGACAATATTCTATTCTTGACTTGCGTTGATTACACCCGAGGCAAGGACGGTGTCAACTGGGCCAACACCCCCCCACGTTGGAGCCACACTATTACGGTGGCACATAATTAGTGGGAGCAAATTTTTGCTTATTTTTTCGACAGTAATTTTTTCTCTCAAGCAGTCAAAAAATATTCTGGACAGCTGGAAACAAGCACTACTGCCCAGAGGCTTTATACGAAATCTACCGCATGGTTAGCAGACCCACCACACATCAAATGAAAGACGGAAACCACACCTTTCAAATGAGCCGGGTCTTGCTCTCATCAGACAACCATAAGGTACAGCAGTTGCCGGCGAATATAGGGTACTTTTTCACTGCTTTTTTGTGTTAGCCATTCATGTATTAATAGAACGTTTTGGAAACCCTATGATTTCGCGCACGCGCGCATCACACCAGCGGTGGACACAACGCAGCCGTTGTCGAGTACTGCACGCTCAAAGAGGGGCCTCTCAGCTATCGGCCGATGGCGAAGCCGAAGGGCAGGAGACAGCCAACTGGTGGTGCAGTTGGACGCCCGTCCAAGTCGGACAAGAGAGCCAAGACAGCAGCAGCGAGATGTGCGTTGGCCTAGGAGAGACTCCAAGCTGAGCTCGAGCAGCAACGTGTAGCGCTCGCGGCGGACAGAGCAGAGATGGCGCAGAGGGAGCGCTCAGAGCGAAGGAGGCTGCGTTCGCCAAGAAGGAGCAAGAAATGGCGCGCGCCGCTGCACAGCGGCAAAAGCGTGAGCAGCAGGAGGTTGAGCGCGACTAAGCAGCAGCTGCTGGCTCGGCGGAGAAGGTTGCTCAAGGGGCTGGACTACATGGACACATCTGTGCACGAGGTGAAGCCGAAGAAGGACGAGGTCTGGACCCAGTTGCAGTCAAGGATGGTCCTCATGCTACTCTTCGACCTCCGCAAGGGAGGTTGCTGTGAGAACGAGGCGGTGTTGCAGGTCAGTACACAGCAGTGAAGGTCGGATGGTGCAGCACAGCAGCAGGCCGATGTCTTTTTTAAATATTTATCTTGATTTTAAATGTATACTCCGGAATATGTGCTGTAGACTACACCCTATTTTTGCTGCCAAAGGTATGTTCATGTGGTGTGTGTGTGTTCGTCGCATTTATGTCGGGCGCGAGCCTGTGCCGTTCGTTACACGATTGACTCACCTGTCTACGTCACACAAATATTCAGCAGGAACACATTGTACTGCTGTACAGCAGTACTTTACAGCAGTACTTGACTGCTGTACTTCACAGCAGATGAGCAGGCTTGCATGTGCGATGTCTCTCTGTGCAATGTCCAAGTGAACTGATCTTATGAATAAACGATGTTGCAATATTTTCTCTTCTCTGGACCTCTCTATGCTGGCAGGTTGCCCGCACTTTCAAGATCGGCCACGACAAGGTCAGACGCATCAACAACCACTGGTGGGATCACCGCCAGTTGTACGAGACCACCGCCGTGGGGAGAGGCAAGACGGCAAAGAAGGATGATGGGCGACGCCGCCTCACCGAAGTACAAGAAGATCAACTTCGCGAGTTCATCAACGACGAGCACAAGGCCGGTCGTCAAGTCTTTCGCCGCACGGTGGCAGAATGGATGCACAGGACTTGCAACATGGAGCAGCCGTCCAACCGTTCGGCAGGAGGGCTGCTGAGTAGGCTCGGCTACAAGCGTCGTAGAGGCAGGATCAAAACGCCACCGTTAAACGCCGAAAGACTTGCTCGCATTCGTCGGTTTCTTGTTGAGATGGACATGGCAAAGAGGGCAGAGGATGCTGGGTTAGCAGTGATCGTGTACATGGATGAGAGTTTTGTCCACCAGGCTCATGGTTCCCCCTGTTCTTACTTTCCTTCGGACGAGGATGGAGTTGTGCAGGATGGGATTGGTCGCACAACGGGGAAGGGCTTGCGCATGATCATGGTGCATGCAATCACGAAGTGGGGGCCGTTGGCTAAGCTTTGTTATGGGTTTCCGATCGAAGAGGGCTGGTTCAAGGAAACGGGTAGCGGCAAGAAGGAAATGGAAGATGAGGAAACAGCAGAGTTTCTGTGGCAGGTTAAGTTGGCAAAGGGCGATAACCACGCAGCAATGACCGACTCGATGTTCATGGAGTGGCTTGAACACCGCCTTAACCCTGCGTACAACGCGATCCCTGAGTTCAAAGGCAAACGGATGATTCTTGTTCTTGACAACGCCTCATACCACCATGAATTTGACGCGGAAGTCAAAGTGCCGGAATCCAACACCAAGAAGCACAACGTCGATCTGTTGCGTATGTTTGGGGCCAAGTCGATCAGTGTTAAGCGTAAGGAGGGCGAACAGGGCGTTGTTGGAGTACAACTTCGAGGTACCGACAGAGCCTGGTTCTTCATTCCCTGCAGGGAACAGGGAGGGCGGTGTAAGCAGAGCGGAGGTAGCAACGGCCACTCGGGAATATATCCACCTCAATCACCCTGAAAGGCTCGAGGAACGGGTGGTGACGTTCATGAGGAAAAAGGGGTGGGCGTTGATTTGGACGCCGCCCTACATGCCGTCCTTTCAACCGATCGAGCTTTTTTGGCAGCATGGTAAGCAGTACGTCAGCCTTAAGTTTGAGTTGAAGCGACAGATGCGGGAGGTGTGGGTGCAGATTCGTAAAGGTTGGTACGGGGACAAGGCATGGCCAGGCCAGGAGGGGGGGTGGAAGGCAGCCAATTGTTCGAAGCTGGTTGACCACGCCTGTGGAGAGATGAATAAGTGGGTCAAGGACCGTGATGGAGTGCTTTCTGGTACGATAGGCAGTCTCATAAAGCCGGACGGGTACGATACAGATGATGTGTCGCCCGTGGGTGATGTCTAGGAAGGGGTAGGAGAGCAGATCCAGCAGGAAAGCGCAGAAAGAGGTGATGGCAGCGACGAGGTTGAACCATGATGGGATTTTTTTCAGCCTTGTGATCAATTGCTACACCCATGCACTAGGTGTGCCATGTTTCAACAGTACACATATGTGATTGCTGTGCGCGGGGGGTTGCGTCCCTGCTTCCAGCTGCCGCAGTTGTTCTTGAAAACAAAAAAATCAAAAATAATCAAATGTCGACAAGTTTTACCCCGGATGCAGCTTGCCACACGTCAACTGGATTCATGTTTTATCTTCTTGCGTATTGACCGCCTTCGTCATGGAAGCGTTTTGCGCTACTGTATGCCGACAGGCGCTTAAAAATGTTAGTTACAGGCCGAGAAGTGGGGATACCAATGTTGGCCGGATGTTGCTGGGCATTTTTTCCGATTTTGAATCTCTGCTGAGGTACACGACACGCCATAACTCAAGTAATTTGAAACCTTTTTTTAATATTTTTTTTTATCGTGACCGCCTTTTCCCTGTCGTCAATTTGCGCTATCGTATGCTGTGCTGCGCATCGTATTGCGAAAGTTACACTCCGAAACGCATATCTTTTGATTCGCTCCTATTAATTATGTGCNCCCTGTCGTCAATTTGCGCTATCGTATGCTGTGCTGCGCATCGTATTGCGAAAGTTACACTCCGAAACGCATATCTTTTGATTCGCTCCTACTAATAATGTGCCACCGTAATACTAGTCGAGCACCGCACGGAGTCGTCTCTGCTCGGGAATCCTGCAACAGCCCTACTCTTGTTCAAGCGACGCTCGCTTGGCAGAAGCTGCAGGCCACAGAGTAAGGCTTCCGGGGCGGGCGCCTGCGCTTCACAACTTGCAACTCAATTCACAATGCCTGGGGGTACTGGTGAGCCACGGGATACTGAGGAGGACGGGAGTACTGAGAAATGGAGCCTTCACTGGCCTGAGGCCGCGCGTCGTCAGCCGGTACCGGGCCACTGCAGGGAGTCGGCTTGACGTCATCGGCAGAGGTTTTGGATGAGCTCCCCCGGGAGGCCTTCAGGCGACCGGTCTTGAAAAGGACGACCAGGACGACGGCAACAATCACCAGTGTGCCCGCCACAGCCCCTCCGACGATCGCGCCCATCGACGCATCTTGTTTCGCATGGATTTTGAAACAAGTTGACGCCGCCAAAGAAATGCTGAAGGTTAAGAGACTTGTGGTGCAACATGCGGAATCCAGCAAACGACAGGTTCTGGCCCCCGCTCTGGACCTACAGGCAAGGATCCGGTTCGTTCTCCCGAATTACAATAAACCAGAAAGGCAAGAACGATTTCCCCTCCGCCCAAGACTGGCTTACAATCAGGGAGCAAGAGAACCAAACGCCAGCGCCTTTACTTGTGTTACGTCTTTCTAGAAATGAGGACATTGAGGTCGCGCCACACCAACTACACAGTAGGCTGGCTACACCGGACGGAAGGGAAAAGAACGCCTGAAAGCGGCAGATGGCAAGGACTGTATGACGCGTGAGGGCTATCGGCAAGCAACGCTGGGGCGCCCTTTTCATCCGTATGCAGGCGGGCAGACGGCCCTTACCTTCTGTGGAATTGGAGTCCTCGATCCGGCAGGTGTAGGAGTTGGTATTGCAGCGGGTTTGAGAACAGGCATTGATGGGCCAATGTGTAGGCGAAAACACAAAAGTGAGAAACAAGATGAGCAAGCACACGGGCAAGGAACGCGGGAGGGTTGCCATTGAAAAAGCGTGTCGCAGGAAACATTCCCAACTGCGGTACCCCCCCCCCCGCCCTTGACCTGAAGAATAGACTAAATAGGGATTCCTTGTCTGCCTTGTCGACAAAAGACCAATTTGTTTGCATCCAACAGCCGTTTAAGGAACCCAATTAGTGTCGAAATATCTAGCTTGCAGGCATCACGTTGCGCAAGACACGATGCAACCACCGATTACACAGTGCATGTCGGACAAATAGCTCATCTGGCGAGGCAAACCCCTGCTCACTAAAACCGAGCCGTCCTGGATTCATAGATAGATTGGGGGGAGCTGCTGTCTATCTATGGCGGAAGGTTCCCTCCCGTCGTCCCTCGACAAAGACCGGTGAGCGAAAACTACGCCAGCGTCGCTACTGGTACAATGTAATACGCGACGCCAACTAGGCTGGCTGCACCGACGGAAGGCACAGGTACGCCTGGCAGCGGCAAACGGCAA